GGGCTGTACGTACGCCCCTTTCCTTAAGAAAAAGTACTGATTAGCTGCATCAGTAACTGATGAATGTTTCAATTAACTGATGATGTTGGATCAGTTTGCATCAGTGTAACTGAGAGAATTTGAACACTTATCAGTTATTACACCTAATCAGTATTTTTTCTTAAAAGTTTCCTAAGGCTTTGCTACTGATTATGAGGACGTGAAACGTTGGTAGTGATGTTTTTCATAAACTTTTTGAGAAAACTCGGCAAATTAACAAGAGCACCAAGAATCGGACCTTGGTTGCAGCAGCAACGAACTACACGGAGTGGCTACTACAGGGAAACGGAACGCCAGCGGGCGGAAGAAATGTTCGTGAAATCGCTTAGGGCCGAAGCAATGGCCCCGGCGCGAGATAAAGAAAGAAGCTAGTGCCTTGTAAAGCTCGTAACCCAGATGCGTCCCGTGTGTTTTATTGCCCTTTTACGCTCCATGGCCCGGAGCGAGGAGAGGAGGTGCTGGTGGCGGTGGATAGCGACCGTTTCGTCGTTGCTCCCTCCGCGCCGCACGAACCATCTCCGCGATCTTACATGGTCGCGTGAGCTCGTTTCGACGTTTCGGCCGTACGTCACCGACGAAAAGCGTGGAAAAGTTTGCGAGGTGCGGAGACCTCCGTTTAATCGGCACGTCGGAAGTCGTTGCTGCTCATTCGTCTGGAACAGGCAGCGTAGAATGAACGGAGAGCTGACGGACACCGCAACAATGGATACTGTTAGAATAATTTGAGAACAGCTTAAAATTCTTTAACCCTTCGAGTTACTAATACAGGAAAGTGTATCATGATAAGCGGTTATTAAAAGCGAAGGAAACTCATTTAAATTTTAATTTGAATTTTTGCATATTTATCAAATTTTTCGATATTTTAGTCAACGTGATACTATCTTCGATGTGTACCAGAATAGATTTGACTTTTGATAGATCTAATATAGGAAATCAACGATTACGGATTGGTTGATAAATAATTCGTTTCCATTAAATGCAATATAAAAAAGTTAAATTTGATTAAAAAATCAAATCGAACTTTTTGTCTAACCCGATATCATCACACAGGCAAGCGATAAACTAATAAAAAATAGCCTAATTTATATAAAAAGAAAAACCGATATGTTTGAAAATATATTTGAACCGATATATTTGAAAGGTTTTATATTTTTTAAGTTTTTAAAGGTTCTATTGACTGACAGTGGTGTGAAAAACGCTATTTCGTACACGGGAAGAAATAATTTAGAGACGACAAATTTTATGCTGCCGTAATAAATAAATATACAGAATGTTTATTCAAATACCGTTCAATATTTTAGTTAACTTTTGAGGTTATTTTATAAGGAATAGTTTATATATAAATATACGTTCATTTCTTCATGAGATAATCTCAAAAATTAACTCCTAAAATATGAAACAGTACTGTATATTTACTTATTTGCCACGACAGCATAAAATTTACTGCCCCTCTAAATTATTTTCCTCCGTGTACACGACTCTGTTCGGTTATAACGAGAACACACGCTCAACATTCTTTCACATTTCCCGGTTCCTGATGTCTCGCGAGAAACCTACCCCGTCGACTCGTCCGTTTCCCGACGTCAGTGCGCTCAACGGTCAGGATTAATATTTCTCAAGTGGCCACAGGGTCGATAATACGTATCCTAGCCGCGAATGGAAAGCCGCTTAGACCGGCAATCGCGACCGAAAAAGCTTTCCACGGGAGCTTACCCTCCTCGATCGTTTCCCATGTCCTCCCCCGTTTGGGAAAGTCGCGGCTGTCTGTGCTCGGGGATAAAACCGGGAGAGTTCTCCCCCGTTTTCGTATATTTCTTCGCTTAGCTCTCGATACAGTCGAAAACTTTCCTCCGTTGGAGAAAAGAAAATCAATTCGCGCTTAGCTGCTCATTATGAATCAAAAAATGGGGATCAAGGCGATCTGCTAATAAGAATATGATGCCACTCGTTTTTACGATATTGTTGTCGTTGCGTTTGTGACGAAATATTTCTAAAGAATAAGTCTCTGAGGAAATGAATACACATACGGAGACTCGATCGGCAGTGCGGCCAATGTCGCTGCAATTCCGTAAAACCTGATACTATCCACTACGTGATATTATACAGCTACGTGTCATTCTTACCACTCGCGGACACGCACGAACGGGAAACAACGACGGGCTAGTAGAGAATTTATCATCGTCGTCGGGGAGCTTAGTCACGTGGAAGTCGCGCGAATTAATTATCGCGAATGAAGTGTAATTAATATTAGGCGGATCGACGATCTCGGCAATTCTGGGCTCGGCGATTTCAGCGTAAAGCCGAGTTTCGCATTTTCATGACGCGGGATCGCGACTCGTTCGCGAAAGTCGCCATAGCAACTTTCATCCTTTCTGCTGAATTTTCTAACAATCCACTAGATTGCACTGATCGTAGAATCAGCGAAAGAAAGCAGTGGTGGAGCTCGGTCTCTCCGAGAGTCGCGACTTGTCTCGCGCCAGACTCGCCCGTTGCCGAAGGAACACTAATTACAAAAGTAATTACAGCAGTAAGGCACAATAAACGGTATTATCCCGTGTGACAAACGTAATTGCACGGTAACGGAAGGACAATTAACTGCTCCATTTTCGTGGGCGAATGGCCACGCGTTATCCTACCCTCTGCACATGTACAGTGCACATAGAGAGCGCACACCAGCGCGCGCGAGGAGACACGAACCTCCGCACGCACGTCCGATGTTATTTAAGCTTTAGTTTACGTTACCGCACCGAGCTTACTGGCTCGGCTTTGCATCCCGCAGCATGCAAATGCGCGCTGGATTATGCATTCCATTCGCGAGTTATAGATACATCCTGCGAGCGGGAAAACGCGCGCGCGCATGAGCGCACCGAGTTATTATTCCGTAACCCTTCCGCTCGCTACGGCCCACCATCGCGAATTCATTTCGCATTATAATTTGAAAGATTGCGTTGGTACGTCGGTCGGACGACACCGTCCGCTTCGAAGCGTGTTCGCGCGTTGTGTCTGAATTTTGCGACGAGCAATAACCATCGCCGCCGCCGCCGTAAGAGTTTGGCAAAGAATTAAAAAAGGCCGTCTCTCGGGAGTACTTGCGATTTTCCATCTCGCGCGATAATTTCTTTTTTTTTCCATTATAGTAGCGCTCGGCTTAATGATACGGGGGCTGACGATGATGTAGCCGTCACAAATGACGATAACGACGGTGATGGCACAATGATTTTCTGTCGCGCGTTCTATCATAATAAGAGTATGGTTGCGAGGGGGGGGAGGAAATGTCAGATAAACGTGTCATAAGTGATAAATGTCAAATGTAAACTCCAGGCTCTTTTCTGGTAGGTTTTTATTTGACATTTATTCCTGACACTTGCGTATGACAGCGGTATGGATGTAATATAAACCTGAGCTTCATGCTACGTTTACACGTGACATTTGTCTCACGACACTTGCATCTGACAGCGCTACAGACAGTAGTGGTGTTAATGTAAAAAACGATGAAGAATTTCCCTCGCAGACGTTGTGTTACAACGAGCGAGAGAGAGTGCGCTTAACGAGGAACTTAATGTGAATTATCGTAAGACCGTGACGAATGTTAAGGCTTTAAGCGACAATATAAACCGCGTCGAATATACCATATTCGAAAATCGTATTATCCAGTATTCCCTTTCTTATAATAATATTTTTTTTTTTAATATTCCGCATATGTATTTAACACGTTGAGTGCCACGCGCATTTCGGAGGAAATCTCGTTCAGGCCAAAAAATTAAAAATTTTTGATAAGAAATATTCAAGTATATTAATTATACGATCCTGAAATTACTTGTTAAACTATGTAATTTTTTTAGTTTTATATCGTACTTTATATTGTCAGTCAACGTGTTAATAAATATACAAAGAAAGAGGTTTTTGGATTTAATAAAATTTTTTTAATTAAAACAAACTTATCTTTTAGAATAGAGCAAACAAACGAATGTTCAACAAATAGGATTAATTTGATTTTTCAAACAATAAATATTTTTACGTCAAATAACATATTTCTTTTGTATTTTCATTCAAACATTAGAATGATTGTTACAAGCAATGAATTATTTGAAAGAAATAACATATGTTATAAAAAAAAATATTAGAGAATTTCTTTTTGTTTCCATAAAACAATATTTAATACACGATAAAATAGATTTCTTTTATTATAAAAAAATATGTCCTCCAAATATAATACTGTTTTTTTTTCCATCAAACAGTTTACTCTAGTAGAATACAACATTTTCATTCAAATAAAATGATATCCAATATTAAATGATTGATTGTATTGTAATATTAATTGATTGATTATATTAAAAAAATTCGATAAGTCAAACAAATACGATATTAAATTCAAAGAAACCTTTTTCTCGGTGTATATACGCGACTAACAATTGTTAATTGAAATGTAATCTTTTTTTTCTACATGAGCAAAAAACTTAAGTTAAGCGTACACATTTGCGTATTCTCAACGTTTTTCGGGCGGTTTCGCCGAGTCGACCATTAATGCGTTTGCTAGAGAGCATAGAAAATTCGCTTCAACCTTACCAACGCGTACGCATGAACATTTACACGTGCGTAGAAATGTGGACGCTCAGCTAAGTGGTCCATTCAGCGATGCCTGACAGAATATATTACAGGAAGTCGCGGTTAAAAATTCAGTCCCCCACCCCCTCTGTTCCCCCAACGAAGTCCCTTTTGTCTGACGCTTCGCACAATAATTCTTCCTTCTTTGAGGGAAAATTTCACCGCGTTCAGACAAGTGCAGACAAGCACACGAGAGTGCCGTCGCGCTGGCTTATACCTAATGTTTTCTAATTTACGACTCTTTACATCTTAGAATCTTTCTTAGTCTCACAGGCTTTGCATTACGTGTTCCTCTTTGAATCTCGGGCTAATTATACTTTGATCAGGAAGTTCGCGGGGACGATAAGTAACGTTACCTTGCGAAGCATCTCCTCGAGGGATTCCATGTCCAAAGCGGAGTTGTTGTTCTCGGTGTGTACGGGTTGCATCATCGACGACTAATCGGTTCACCTTTTTCCACGCGAGAGTCACTAGCACCGGCGCAACGGCTGTATTATGCCCCGCAAACACTATTATTGACAATCGTTCGCAGGGACGAGAGTCTCATCGAGCGGCGCAAACGTCGTGTTACAAACGTCGAAACTCGTCACCTCGTAACCACTGTCACTTCTCGCGTCACGCTTCTCATCGTACCCAGAGATGCGCGCGCGCGTAATAATCGTTTACCGATCGTCAGATAGAGTGTATCGGGATCCTAGTGCGAAACAATTTTTCCTGCAAATATCAGAAGCTATCGCGGCTGAGTTTCTTCGATCGGAATTCTCCGAGTTCCTTCGAGACGTAGACCCGAGATTTATTAACAGATTGTGTCTGTCACGTGGCTCAATTAGTCGAGAAAGAACGTGTTTCTATGTATATTCTCGAAGAACGTAAGAACGCCGCACGCACGACAAACGAACGAATGAACGAATGAACGAACGAACGACACGCACGCACGCACGCTCCCCTCGTATTTTCTTTCTCGATTGTCCGTGAAGTGCACCGACTAACTGCATCGTGAAAGGCGACAGACGGGCAGGAAACGGCGCGTTTCTTTCTTCTGGAAATCGCGCCTTTCGAGACTCCCAAAGCGAGACTTAAAAATACTTCACGTACGAAAATAGTCGTAGCCAGAGAGAGCGGCGCTCGACGTTCCTCTCGACAGTTCTCGATGACGACCGCAGCGTGACGGCGCGTCGTCGTCTCTCGCGCCCCCACTTGCCCGCCGGAAGATTAACCCCTTCGGCCCCGTTTTGCATCGGGTCTCCGTAATTCTATTGACAACGATATAGAAACATAAAAAAAAGGAAATTCCTCTTTTTCGCAGAGGCTATTTAATTAGCGGGAAGACGCATACCTCGGCTGAGAATTAATTATAGATACACGTCGCGCTATGACGATTCTTCTTTCACGTGTGTTCCTCCGGAATTATGAACGCCAGTCTCTCGACGACCTCTTCCAATTTTCACTACGAGCTGCGTGCGCTGATGAGAAACGATCAATATTCCTTTTCCCTCGCGGTAGCGCTAATCGCCGTACACACGCGGCTCGCTTCCGTCGCTCTCTCGTTCAAATTCAATTCGTTCTGATATTTGGTAAGCAAATAGAAGACAGACCGACCACGCGGCCTCATTCCACAGGATGAGACTCGAAGTACTTAGAGGAAGGGAGCAGCTAGCGCGAAAAGTTAGTTTCTACGGTCTTCTCTTTGTCCCGTTGTCTTCGCTTCTAAGGCATTTTTATTATTTTCTTAATCGAAGCTTCAATAATGACTGTAATGACTGTCCATTGCTGATCGACAGCAGATATCGCTGTGTCGACCACGAAAGAAAAGTGGAGTCGTCCGGAAATTGAGTAAACCCAGTCGAGTTCACGTTGGAACTCTTTAATATTTATCGTCAAACATCCGTGTAATCAACAACGCGCGTTTTCGCCTGTATGCGAGAAAAAGAAACAAGATGAGTGAATATAGAGGAGATAAAGTACAAAGTAAAGCTTTTTGAACACAGGTTCGTTAATTGAAATCGAAAGTTCGGAAAGAGAGGGCGTGGACGTGCCGGATGTTATAAAAAAGAAAAAAAAAACGCGTCTTTTCAAACACCTCAGCGCGTTAACGAGAATCGAGCGACATATGATTTCGATCGAACGAGATTTTTGTTCCATTCATGAACGCCCGCGTCTCATCTCCCCCTTTATCCGAATGACATTCGTTTGAACCTAACCCTCGGACACCGGTGAAACGACGCGCACGTTTGCTATATATCTCGATGCACCATGATCAAAGCTTAATTGAAAAAGAGCTGTCCTGTGAACAGCGATTGATACCACCTGGAATAGATACCACGCTGGCCGGCTTTTACCTCCCTGTGTCTCGTATAAATGGATATATAGGTTACCGCTTTGATCAGAGGGTGAAAGGGCTGTGTAACTTTACGGGAGAAATCAAGAAGCATTTTGTCCGACACAGAGCCGATAATTAATCGGAGAACGGAGGCTACGATAATAAAGCTTTAAGCGAAACAACATTTCGCGAAAAGTAAATTGAGAATTTCAAAATAAATAACTTGGATGAGATCGCATGTGGACTGGAATCTATAGGTTAAAAGAAAATAAAAAGAAAAATATCATTTATAATGATATTATATTAATTAAAATATCACAATAATTTATGATATTATAATAATTTATAATGATTTTATAAAAATTTTATTTGGCGTAAGAAAGAAAACGTAAACGGATATAATCTTATAATCTATTTTGTCATAAACATCCCTATATGACCCCTTCTAATTTTAAGGTTTTTAATTTTCGTTCGCCCTTATTCCCGTGAGATTTATTGTAAACCAGCATATAAAAAGGGGAACGGATATTTATTTCCATCCAGGAAATTAAATTCCGCTAAGAGAAACAAAAAATGTAAAATAAGTAAAAGTAGGAAACGAAATGTAACAATGAGTTCATTAATGTAAGCAGATTTTCTGTAGGAATGAAGTAAACGGAAGTAACAGCAACGCTTATTCTATCCGTGCAAAATATTTTCGGAACAATAATACGAGCGTGCGCATAAATATATAGATATATTAATATCGTAAGGAGATATTTACAGAAATAACGGTGACGAGTGAAAGCGATGACGCATAAAGATTACAACGAAATTTTCGTGAATTACAACACGTTCTCATGACACTCTAAATTAAGAAGAGATATGAACAGATCCTGATTTCAGAATTAACTGTGTAACAAGTTCTAAAAGTAACTACATCCAACTGGGACGAACTTTTGATAAATTGCAGTGCGACAATGCGGAACAGCTTACTGCAAGGGACACTAGAATTAAACAGGTTGAATTTTAATGAGACGGATCGACGGAAATGTCGGAGAAACTCGCCATCACTTATCGTACCTTTCTTAATTTCAATGTTACATATTTCCGTAATTATGCTTCAGATTAAAATAATATGAAGCTTTATTTTAGACTAATTTTCAATAACGCGCTTTCTCTCTCTCTCTCTCTCTCTCTCTCTCTCTCTCTTTATCGCTTTCTCTCTCCCCTTCTCTTTTTCTGTTTGTTGCGTGTGTGTATATGCAATGTTCACCCGCCTCTCGAAGTTGTGTACATATATAGAGTTGTATAGTTCGCGAAAAGTTTTTTTATTTTCACGCGCTGACTCGACATCTTTGTGGAGGAAAAATCGATTCCGCATAGGTCAAATGTCCATCTTGCAATTTTATCCGCTTATTCTAAAACCTCTCTTGTATATTGTGTTTCGCCGATACGAAACTACATGAAAAGTTCATAATTTATTCTTTCCGACCTTTTTACGTACACAGAGAATGCTCCAGTTTTTAGCGAACCATTAATCAGAGTGAGAATACTTCGAACAATTTTTCCCTGGCAGAAATTTAATCGGGTACCTGAGTTGTTGACAATAAAAAGAATTTAATTTTCTTGACGTTTATAATCACGCGATTTTTCACGACTCGTTTATCGATCGTAAAACTACTACGGCTATCATTGGGATAGCCTCATATAACTCGTAGAATTAAACAACAATAATCATGACTTGGCTCTTTTGATTTTTCGTTTCGTCCTGCGTGATTTACCCGCTAATTGACACAGCCTTGGTAAGAAAGAAGTCACCTAATTGCTTTAGCACCGCTGTTCAAACGCAACCGTATTTAGAAACAAGGTTTACTCTGCGCGATGAAGAAGGCTAATTTGATTAAACAAAGCAAGATAGATGTTTTCTATTTGTTTTGCACAGTAATTTTAGTACAATTCCTTTAAAAAAATTACATCGCGAGACTAGATTCATAAAAAAATTACATCGCGAGTCTAAATTCATAACAAAAGACATCCGTAGATACTTTTTCGATTTACCTATTTTTTTTCAAGTGAATCAGCGTATCGTATGTCATAACTTTTACTTTGTGTGAATGAAATGAGTACATACCTGAAATTTTTAGAGGCAATGAGAGGAAAGAGAAAAATCGTGAGAGAGTTGAGAAAGCGTGGCCGAGAAGAACACGAGGAGTTAGCTCATAAGAGAGAGAGAGAGAGAGAGAGAGAGAGAGAGAGAGAGAGAGAGAGAGAGATCCACGTTTGTGTAGAAACCTCCATGTTCTCCAGACATTACGTGCCACCTACGTTCACACTTATCCCTTCAATTTACATTAGACACCACGACAAGGTCTCGCTGTGACAAGCTGCCAAGATCTTTCCACGAGCGTCAAGCGCGGTGCTGTCGGATCGATATGACGCGAAATAATCGCGAGATTACGAATCACATGTCTGCGACGAGAGAGAAAGAGAGAGAGAAAGAGAGAGAGAGTAAACGAACTTCATAGTACTCCGATCGCGTTTCACGGACCACTGAGGGAAGTCACGTCTGTCGCGGTGGCCGATGCCGGAGGATTGCGTTGGGCGCATACGTCACATGCGCGCCGCCGTCGCCGCCACCACCGCCACCGGCACACCATTACATCACTACACCACCACATCATCACCACACTGCTGCCGCCATCGCTGCCACCGACGCGATGGCACTGACACTCTCGTGTCGTCCACGTGTAGAAAGAGACACTCATAAAATATCAATCGAGTCGAATTTGAGTTCGCTCGTGTGCCTTTCGTCCTGTTGCTGCCGCAGTCACACAGCGAAAGATCGAATTATATTCGATCTTTTATGAGCATAACGTTACTAAAAATAACAATGAGAACGGGAAATTTTGAACCTTTGATATTTCCTTATCGCAAATCAATTTTGTAATGCCCGTTACGCTCCTCGGATGCTCTGGCGGATGTTTCGTAATATCCAAGAAACGCGTCACCCTAGCGATAATATTACATGAAACGAGCGAACGAATGAGCTAATTCTATTCTGACACAGTGATTTATGTCTGTGCAGATTCATCCCCCTTCCCGGTAACGGCCGCGATTTTCGCCGCACCCGTGCATCTTCATCGCGGTCGTTCCATCTCGCCGGTCTAAGACACGCATCCATGCCACCGGAAGTATCCATTAGGCGAGGAGGAACTTAATAGTCCGCGGTCGTTCGACGTGTCAATGGTGGTCTTGCACATTGTTGGTTACACTATGACAATGTACAACGCGTTCAGGCGAAATCGTTCCCGACGTTGGCGATCGTTCTTCTTCCGATCGTGCCGGACATTTCGTGCTGCAATCTCCTAATTAATTAATTTCTCGTAACTGCAGAAACGCAATCTATACACTCAGTCGTTCTCTTTTGCTGGGATTTTTATTTCAAACAGCGAAGCGAAGTTCGTCGTGTTGCGTGCCAGCATGAATCTTCTTGTACGTACGTACGTATGTACGTACACACGATAATCACGATCGTAATAAAACCCGCTTTTCCGATAATCTCGACCAATGTCCTCTCTCTCTCTCTCTCTCTCTCTCT